TATGTGTATGTATAGATTTTCGTGAGACGATGTTCTCATTAAGGGGTTTTTTACGCTTGTGTTCTTCTATGAGAACAAGATTCAACTTGAGAAGTTGCTCGAACACGCCCCTATTTTACATGGGGTCTGATAGTACACGTTGTACTAAACTTTAATGAACTATATCTGGTGTTTCTCTTCGCGTGTATCAGCCGTTCTACAGATTTTGAGGTCCACAGAAATTGGTTGGCCATCACTCACTCTCTGCCACTTTCGCGGTGGTACTATGAGGTATACTCTACTCTGATATTTTCTGTTTCTGAGAAAGTTGCTAGTGTTCATAATTTTTATGGGAGTGTCATATTTAAAAAACTCATACAGACGGCACAATACCTGTCTTTGTTCTATATGCAGAGACGCAGTTTTGAATTTAGATATCTACGTGAATTTATATTCAGTATGTTCTTTTCCTTGTGTTGTTCATGTTTAATTATATAGTTGTACATATTCATTTGCAGTTGCGATTTTTTTAGACACATCAAAATCTGTTTCAATTAATCTCATTACTGCTGAAATTTTTGCATTAAAGGACACCTCGATATGGACTCTCGACTACCCGCCGGCGTTCGCTTGGTTTGAGTATATTCTCTCATGCTTGGCTGTGTACTGGGACCCTGCAATGCTGCAGGTATGTGGCCAACGAAATTTTAGCAATATATACTTCTAGTATGTACTGGCATAGACCGAAGGCTTTGGGCTGCGGTGACCTTAATATAGTTGGTAGCATACTAATCTTTGAATACATTTCTAGCGCATTTGAAGCGTACAATTTTTGTCTTTCTATCTGCCACGCGCTATTTTAAAGCACTTCCACAAACCTTATATACAAATCATTGCAGATTGCGAACCTGAACTACGCATCCAGGAATACAGTGCTATTTCAGCGCTTCAGTGTCATAGCGACTGATCTGGTGTTGTACTATGCCGTGACCCAGTAGGTGGTACTTTGCGAAAAGTGTCTTAATTTTTAAGCGTGTTCGGTTCATGATTGTGGATTTGTTCATCCTGTCTGTTTCATACCCCAATTGTCCATGCAGCACAGACAGTGAGAGTCTTTACTCACACCTCGATCACGATAGCAAATCTCATAAAGCCACTGTGCATGGTCGTTATTTGAACGCGAGTATCGATTGTGTCTTTTAGCCACCATAGGGTTTTCACAATTTGCGCGTACTCGACTGAACACTCTTGCAGATATGTATCGACACAGTTTATAACACATCGACAGCGCCACACGTGCGTGTGCTTGGTTGTTCTTAATTGCGGACTATTGCTGTTGGACCACATCCACTTTCAGTACAACAGCGTTCTACTGGGTATGTTATTATTAGGCTTGTATTGTTCTTTTACGGGGCATGTTATTTTTTTCCGCTCAGAGTATCTTTCTGCCGTACCATCTAAGAGGTCGAGCGCTGATGAACAGCTCGGAGAGACATATTAGAGTGTACTACAGGTTCATGCTCACGCTTATCTCTGATGTGGGTAGTTCTTATCACCCGATTGCCATCCGATATTCGAAGCAGTGATTTTGTTGTTAGTTTTCCGTGGACCGAAACAAATATTTGAAAGTCTCCTATACTTGTCATAATTGTAGCGTTTCAACTTTGGGTTGGTTCTCTGCAGGACTGCTCGTGTTGTCTATAACCAGAATACAACAGGGACGGGTACTAGAAGGAGCGTTCCTCTACACACTGCTGCTGAATATGAAACACCTATACCTGGGCCTGGCCCCCGCGTTCGGCATTTATCTGTTGCGCAGCTATTGCTTCACACAAAAAGGCAGCTTTGCTTATAGGTATGTAAATACCATCAACCGCTGTTACCGACCGCACCACGGTTACGTTCTGAGCTTCTACAAGAAGATTTCACACGAACTTAAGTATTATTGAATGTTTCAAATCAAGTTCATGTGCACCCGTATTGAATGGAGGTATACCAAGGGGCTTTACTGTTCGGATCCTTGTGGGTTCGTACGTATGCTGCGATATATTACGACACTCTGCCAAACATGGTATTATCGATCTATATCTTGCCGAGTTTCCAGTATGTGCTATGTGATATACTACACAACGAGTCCAGTATGGCTTGCTTGCTTTTTGATTCTGCTGAAGCGAATTATCAATCACTCGAAAAAGCGGTGCATGTTTATTATGTATTCATATATAAACTAAAGCTCGTCATTGCGGTCAGCGCACCTGTTTTTCCAATCGAAATACACCGTCCTCTGAGGCACTGAGAGATAACTAGACGATATGCTACCATGACGCTGTGTTTGTTTGCACAGTACGCCTTGTTCAACAAATCTTCGTAAATGCTTTGTTTCCGAGACGGATCACCTAAACTATTCTAATTGCCCACTGAAGTATGCATCCGCCGCCAGAACACCGCTGTCTTGCACTAATATTCATGTACTTCATCCGGGTGCTGTATGCAGACGTTTCTTACGCCTGGGATTACTTGTGGTATTCACCACCGCCCTGAGTTTCGGGCCAATCATCTTGTCCATGGTTGCATCCGCCACTTTACCTATCTCTATGGAAACTTCAGATAGCAACGTTTACACGGTGCCAGCGATGAATACTGCCTTTAAGCAGATTATGTCGCGTTTGTTCCCGTTCCACCGAGGCTTGCTCCATGCGTACTGGGCCCCAAATGTCTGGGCTCTATATGCATTCCTGGACAAAGTTCTGGTATGGCGCTTTGGATATTATAAATAAGTGTATACTCCTTGAAGTGTTTTTTATGACGGTGAGCAATGAATTGTTGCATTGAAAGACATTAGCGAGTCGTCTGCCAAGGCTGTCCGTGGTTTGTTCCTATTTGAACGCATGGTCCAGAACTGTTTTGTCTCACTCATCTATCTTTACAAGAACAAGACCTTCCAAATAGAATTGACTCAGGAATACCTGATCTCTACTACGCGTATTCATGTGGTCCCCTGTTTCCTTCTATGGGCAAAGAACGTATGGTTGCTCAAAATGCAGCTGTCAATGACATTCTTACAAACAGCTCTTGCTACTATGCATAAATACACTCTCACCAATGCGCTCACAGTCAGCTTCACTTGGCACGCCCACGTTTAGCACCACCCAAAGCGCTTACACGCTGCTCTGCTCAACATGCACCCCTTGCTCTTCACGTGATATGCATACATAACGCTCTACTATTCATACGATACAGGTGGCGTGCAGGAAACTGATTGGCCCACACAGCAAGCATACCTCAAGCAGCCGTAGCATGACCTCAGGAGTGGTTGGCGAGGCTGAGTTCGTTCTTTTGCCACATGTCACACCTTCCGTGACGGTAGCCTTGATTCTGGCTGCTCTAGTGCCATGTCTTTGTGGACTATGGTTAGCATGTGTTCCCGATCCAAACTGCGAGTGTGAGGCGGAGGGTGTGTCTGCCAGTACATCTGGTCAAAATATCGGAGGGGAACCTTTGACCCCGAGTCCTGTTGTAGGGCATGTCTCTACTACGGGGTTGAGACAGAGAGTCGGTTCCAATCCCGGGACAGCCACTACACCGACAGGTACGGAATCGGCTATCAAGGCGGAAACCACAGAAAATTATGACAAAATACACAACACTGGAAGAAAGAGTGGCGGAAGCGACGATGACGCGGGAAGTGGACAACTCGGGAGAATAGAGCATGCGAAGGTCAATGGCGATCTGTTTCTCCGGGCGGTGGCTCTGTGCGGTCTCACAGTATTTTTGCTGGGGTGGCATGTGCACGAGAAGGCTGTGCTCACGGGCTTGTTGCCTGTCATGTATGTTTACGGTTACTATTTGGCTGGTCTTGTATTTATTGGGGGCAAAGGTATACGCCGTTTTGGGAATCGAGAGTAATATTTTTGTATGGAAAGTGTGAGAATGTAATTGTATAAGGGTTGTGCAGAGAGATTGAATCTGCAGAGCATTCAATGAGTTGCTTCGCAGGAGTAGGCTGTTGCTGTGCTTGTATGTTGTTTATCGCTGCTAATGGCCGGAACATCATCGATGGCCGGAATATCATCGAGTATGCATTTTCGTACGGATTCTTTTGTAGGACACATATAAGTATGGGTATGGTTGTAGTTACTGTTAAAGATTGCAATAGTTATCATACACGGGTACTATAGTTGGATGCGCTTATATATGCGACTTTAATGCATTATGTATTTTTAAGCCTAAAATATGAATACATGTATGAATTGGCGTGCATATAAATGCGTAAAAATGCAGAACTTGTCTGTTCATAGTTTTACGCATTTATGTGTCGATACAATTACACAACATCGTAAGTGTATAGAATATGAGATGGCTTACATGCAGATGCACGCATTCATTTATTGGTGTAAGTATATTTTATGTTTGTGCGTTGATCCAAGACGTGTGTTTTAGTGATTGCTTCACCCGACACAGTACGTGACGTCATAAGCTGTCAAGAATTATTTCTGTTTAACACGAGTGATCCGGCAGAAAAGTGTGTAGGGAGCATTGTTCGAAGGCTGTTATCCTAATCACTCCATACTCCCACACACTTACAGATTGCTGTCCACCACGAATGCTAACTTGCAAAGAGTGCTGATGGTCTTGAGCTTGTCGGGGACATATGCGCTGTTTCCGCTGTTGTACATGCCTCAGGAAGTACCGGTGAAGGCTAGTCTGCTATTGCTGTATACCGGCTACGCGTATATGGCATTCAGTACCAGGTGAGTGTTTGAGTGCCTGATTTGGGACGAATTGTATAGGCATGTTCTATAGTTTTATCAGAACAATACTGCTGTGTGTATTTAGTGTGCCGTACATGGCAGCACGGTTATCTACGGCTGGGCGTGGAAGGCTTTTTTTACCCAAATAGTAGGCAGTACTTTTCTAACACACCCATTCACCATGCCTCGATGTGATGTGGGTCGAGGTACATTCTACAACCCCGTGCAATTAACAAAGCTAGAAAACATCCGTGAGGAATTCATCAGTACATTCTCACGAATCCTGTTATCAAATACTTGCCGTCTTGATCACAGCACTGCGGATACCACCCACTCGCCTGCTAATTACCTATTATACGCCTATTCTTTATTCAGTTGCAAGGCAAATGCAATCAGCTCGCACACCACGTATCTTTCGCATCTGGAGGATGCTTACATGCTCGGCTTCCTGGGCCTGTGGGTGTACACAACGTTGCTCCACACCGCCCTTTTCGGAGATGCGATGGAGTTCGTGCCTCTTCTGATGACGTCTGTGTATAGTGCGCTCGGGGTGCTGTATGCCTATGTATGTATATACGTAGACACGCTCGCGACATGTATGAGAGAAAACCGAAAGGCTCTAATTAAGCGGGAATAGTATCAACTGGGGTGTTTTAGACTTGTTTGTTCGGTGGGAATAGAGCATCAATCGACAACAATCTGATTGTAATCAGACATGCAAACTTTAAGCCTCCTTTCACCACACGTGATTCCACACAAAGTTCGGCCGGACATCTCTGCTATCCCGGACAGTTAAATTCAAGGCACTAAACATAGTAAATTTGACATTGGATCCGATACGTGGAGTGGGACGGAATCCTGGGAATCAGCTCTCGCGTAGGTGGTTGTGCGAACCAAGGGTCCACCCCACAGAGGCGGTCCAGTATACGAAGACGTGGACAGGGCAGGGCTCCCGAGACTTGTGTGCGGTCAAATGCGGGTTTTTAGATTGTAAACTGTATCAATCTATATGGACGATAGACAACCAAAGAATAAGAACGAAAGGTAAATAAAATAAAGTTAAAGTAACGGTTGGTGTTGAGGCAAGTATGGCCACGTGTACCATTGGAGATCATACGAGGATCTAAGCCCGTGCTTACGTTTAGCACGCACAACTGTGATGGCGTCTAAAAAAGTGCCGATCCGGCTTATAATCATTCTATGGTTGTGTAAGTGGAGGGGTAATTTGTTAATATGTTTATAGTAGTGTTGGTCATAGCAGCGAGCAGGGTTCGGATTGTGATGATGCAGCAAGGTCGCATACAATGAGGTTGTACTGAGAACACATAAGACTATAATATGGAAAAACACACTCGTTTCGCGGTACTCATATATGCACCCCATTCCGCAGTTCCTTGGCCCTTGGGATCACGTCTGGCATTGTAGAAGTATTAAGTTTAGATCGTGAACACTTCGTGTGTCAGTAAAACGGGTCAATCTCCCAAAGTCATTCTGGTACTTCCTTTACTACCCTTTTTCCAGCATACATACACTGCCTGATCAACATCAAACATACTTTTCAGTAACGTAGGATTCGCGAGCTACAGCAGTTAGTAGTAGGCAGTCATCCCATAGAAGCGTCGGATGCTATCTACATCGTAAGAACTGCGGATTGAACAAATCACATTTTATTCTCCTTAAAAGGAAGTATTGTACGAGCCTGTCGTACTGTCGTAGAGTGGTCCGAAGCTAACAGAGTCGGGTTGCCTTAGCAACGATCGCAGGCCCCAATACCGCATACACAATGGTTCAAGTTGCAGTGTGCAGTTCAAAAATTTATATAGAAAGGAATCCATAAGGTGACTAACCGCAAGTGCATGAGAGGACAGACCGGGCTACATATTTATTTCGCTACGCTTATATTGTTCCTGTACGCCTACAGACAGGATGGTGTATTTGGGTTATACAGTTAGATGTATGCAAGTGACACTTAGTCACAAGCATTGACGATTGGACTGCGCTGGCACTATCTAGATGATGATAGATCGCAACCGATGTATGATCGCTTACACCTGATCCCATACTCGGAATTGTTTGCAAAATTGCGGTATGTCCTGTGTACGTGCAGTAGCCCACCACTTGCTGGCAACCGTCGATCTGATTTTGAACACATCAAACTTCTTGAAGTAGACACCTAATTACATGCACGCAATCAACCCTTGAAGCAAGATTGACTATGAAACACAGGCATGTAAACAAAGTCAACGTTTCCGGACTCCCAAAACCAGTGGGGCCATTAACGATCCTCTCGTCAGCTTTGCCAGCACACTTGGATTCCTTTCCCCCAGTACATTCTCCTTCCCAGATGGCAGGCTGATAGTAGCTGCTGTCGCCCCAGGTGGCGATGGTGCCTCAGTTGTCGTCGCAGGTGTATCTGTTTTCGCTAATACAGGAACATTCGTTTGTGGGGGTTTGGAAATAAAAAGAGGTCCAGCTGCAGTATCCGTTTGGCTACGTCCCGATGAAAACTGGCCCATTCCAGATCCCATAGGTGCTGGCTCTCGACTATGAGAAATGGGTGTGGTCTTCTGAACCGGGTTAAACGTGGTTGGGGCCGATGATTGGGCCCCAAACCCCTTCGGCAAAGCACCCCCCACACTCTGAGTTGCAGCAGTATTGTTCATTAATTTTTGACGCAGATCTGTATTTGCTTCCCCGGAAGCTGACGCATTAGTGGTATCATTAATATTTTTTGTCCATGATTTGTTTTACACTCGTGCGCGGCATCGTCCCTACCTTTGTGGGTGCGCTCAGCGGTCCCAAAAGACGGCCAGAAACTCCACTCGGCTTATTACCCAGCCCATCACCCGCTACTGAGGGTAAGCCAAAGGTCCTTCCCTTCGCCGGGGCTAGTTTCTGTGGTGTCTGTGCAGCCACTGGTTTGGCCGAGGACGTACTGTCCTCTCTTGTGGAGGGCTCTAATGGCACGCTGTCCTGTGCAGTCTTTGCAAATGGGTTCGATATAGCACTCCCTAACGCACTCTCGTGAGCCATATCCTTCCTGGGCGTGGCTGACGGGAAGCTCTTCGAGGTGCTAGAGCCAAACACAATCGAACTTTGTGCCGATTTCTGTACCTGTGTGCGGGGTTTGTCCTGTGATTTGGGTTCAGCTGTTTGACTCTCGCTCACATTCACGGCTGGGGCTGCTGGTTCTGTACCAAATTTTAAGACACTCGAATCTGTGACAGTGGGAGAGGTTCCGAACTTTCCAAACGGGGTCTTAGCCGGTTTTGCGGGGGGTGTAGAACCCGAGTGATGAGTACCAGATTTTAGATGGAATCCGGGCTTTGGTGATTGTGGCACTGACGATGTGACTGCGATGGGAAGAGTATTTGAGGCGGATGATGTGTTAATCGGGAATGAAGATAGGGTTGGTAGTATTTGAGTCACCACGTGTAGATACAGTCACCATCATCAACATAGCTGAGTCAGTGAGCACTGCTCTGGTCAGCGGAGTGACTACATGAAGCGAAGAACTGCAGAAAGATATTCGTCAACTACAGTGAACAGTAATACGGGGTGTGCCAAAAGTACTATAAAAGCCCGTATCGACTTGTAACCGATCGAGACGCCAATGGTCGCGTGAAATGAACACGCTCGCACATGTGAACAACGGAACACGCTACTGTACACACGCCCGTTTCAAAGATTATCCATACCAAGCCCACGCACACTACACATACTGTTTGCCGATGAGCGCATCATATTTGTGAACACAGCGGGAGGACCAACTTTGGCGGGTGTCTGAATTTTTTTTTCGTCTTCTTTGATCTTGTCTAGTGCCGCTTTGAGCACAGAAGCCGTCTTTGACACCAGTTGTGCTTTCGGCTTATCCAAGACCTTCGTGCGTTTAATTCTGGCCTCGAAAAGATGATTTGTTTCGGGCTCATCGTTGAATACCCGCTTTTTGGGACGAGTCGGTGTCCTGTCTCTCTGTCATGGTAATCGTGTTTCAAAGAATATTGTCAGAATGCGACGCTCAAATCTACTACAGTGTACAAAAGTTCTTAGTTTGCACAGTTTTCATACAAGATGTGTCTTCAAGAACTACAAGTGGCAGTATGTATTCCATAAACTGATTCCCCATACCAATGTAATTAGGACATACAATATACTCTATATGTATTACCCTGTATCTAGGACATAAACAACA